ACTGCGTCCAGCTTCCCACCTAGTTTCTCTGATCAGAGCCCAGAACCAGATGGCGACAGATCGCCGGCTAGCCAAAACCAGGAGAGAAACCAAAACCAAAAGTGGTTTCTCAAGCACGCTCTTACCTTGCCGGTGGTGTGAGGGGGAGAAACTGGAGGTCTGACTGGGGAAGCAGAAGCAGCCAGGACTGATGCAAGTCCCCTCTCAGGGAGTTTGCCTGTACTGCCCAATTTGTCTGTTAATAATCATACTTTGTAATTTTTGTAGTAAAAGTAGAATTTTTTGAGCTTCCAGATAACAGAGCAGTCTCTAAGGCTGGAAAAAGGTTAACTACATACTTAGAGTCAGTATAGAGGTTAAAAGGTTGTGTAAAGGTTTCAGCTATAGTTATGACTGCAATTATTTCTGTTTGTTGAGCAAATATACCTTCCTTCCTTTTGATAGTAGGTGGACTGCCAGGTGTAAAAACCACAGAGGTTCCATTAGAGGAGCCATCTGTAAATACCAACATGGCATTTAATACATGTTCCTGAGACACTTTTGATGGAAATATTTCTGTTTCTTTAACAAATTTCAATAATGGATTCTGAGGTTCCTTTTGGTGTGGAGCAAAGTTGCTGCTGAAATGGCTCTGAACAAAATGGAGTAACTTAGGGAAGTTTGCTGAGCCAGTTCAGTAAAGACAACTGTGTGTTCACCCAGAAGATTCTAGTACCATCTGACCCTCTGGAAAAAGCTTGCATTTTTACCCATCACTGAAAAACAAATCCTTGCAACAACCACAGCACTCAGTTCATGAGTGCTCAACAAGCACTCAGAAAACTCCTCAGAATGCATCACAGCCATCTTGGATCCCTTTCTCTTCTGTGCTCTCTCTCCTTCCTATCTATCCTATCCCACCTGCTTCTAACAATTTATCCCTCCATTTGAAGACCATGGAGAGAAGATAAGCTGGGGAAGGGGCTCATGAAATCCTACCCTTATCTGAGGAGCTATTGGCAATTGATGGCTGCTGGGGGAGGGAGAGTCAGTTTTCTTTAAGGGTGGAACCCCTGAGAGGGTACCCATGCTCCAGTAGATGGTCCTATATTGTGCTGCTTAGTTTTTGTCAACTTGACACAAACTAGAGTCACTTGGGAAGAGGAAACCACAACTGAAGAATTTCTTCTACTAGAATTGCCCATACCCATGCCTGTGAGGCATTTTCTTAATTGATGTGGGAGGCCTAGCCCAATGTGGGTGGTATCATCTGTGGGCCTGGGTTGTATAAGAAAGGTAGCTGAGCAAGCCAGAGAAAATAAGCCAGTAAGCAGTGTTTTTCCGTATCTTTGCTTCAGTTCCTGCCTTGAGATCCCGCCTTGGCTTCCCTCAATGATGGACTGCCACTTGGGAATTGTAAGATTAAAATAATCCCTTTCCTCCTCAAGTTACTTTAAAACTTTTTATTTATTTATTATTTTTATTTTATGTGTATGAATGTATTGCCTGCATGTATCTAAGTTCACTCATGTTGTGCAATGCTGGAGGAGGTCAGAAGAGGGCATTGGATTCCCCTGGAACTGGAGTTATGTATGGTTGTTAGCTGCCATGTGGGTGCTGGAAATCAAACCCGGGACATCTGCAAGAGCAGCCAGTGCTCTTAACTTCTGAACCATCTTTCTAGCCCCCTTGCCCCAAGTTACTTTTGGTCAGAGTGTTTAATCACAGCAACAGAAAAGCAAACTAGAACACATATCCATACACATACAGCACTAAGTGGACTCAGTGGGTTTTTTAAAAAAGAGCGCATGAAGTTGGAAAGGAAAAGTGGTGGTAGGAAGCAGGGAGACAATTGGAGGGGAGGAAATGGGGGTGGATTTGGTCAAAACACATCATATACATGTATGAAATTCTCAAATAATAAAAAAGAAAGAATGTTTTCTATGTCTGGTGGTCCTGATTTTCTTGGGTAAGAAGGAACTAAAGTCACTTGTCAAGAAAGAGGTGGTAAAGGTTGTCACAGGGGGCTTGCAGACACCAAAGCCTTGGACATTGAAGAGCAAAGACAAGTCATCCTTACTGTGCTCTATATTATTACTGACCCACAGAATCCATAATGCCATTATGGTGACTAGAAGAAGGAGCTGGCTGTTTATATATAGAAAGATTACCAAGGATTCAAACAACAATAATTGAATCCTTGGTAATCACCTTTATATGAAAAAGGTCTACTGGCCAAACAATGCCAGTAGCCCAGCTGATATAGATGGTTATGGATTTGTAGGTGGGCTGGGCCCCAGTGCTGCTGCTGTTGCTTGGCACCACTGCTTTCTCAGTAGCCTACTGAGAGCAGCCCTGCGTGGCAGTGGAGTGGGGCCTATGGCCTGTACCAGTTCCAAAGCTGCTCAGTCGACTGAGGAAATATAAATGAAGGTACATGGGACTTCAGTGACATCATCCAAGTCAGGGAGTCAGGAGAGGGACTGAAAGAAAGGTATCTGGTGGCTTTGTTGTCTTTAGAATGGGCCAGGATTCAAATTTCAACAGTCTGTTCTTGTGCAACAAACCACCCAAGACTTAGTGGCCTAACACAGCAATAACTTCATTGTTGCAAGAAGCAAAGATCTTCACTCCATAATAAGAGAACTGGAGATTTAGACTCAGAAACTGAGTCTTATTCACTATCTGGGTCTTATTCTCCTCTCTCTCTTAATCTTATCTTATCTCAATCTCTCTTAATCTTTTTCTCAACAAAAAACATGTGTGCATTCATCTCTACATTTTACATTTTGTTTAAAGTTTATCAGACACATGACATTGCAGGCAAGCTTGACTGTTAATAATTTTTTCCTCTAAACTTCTAGTTTTAAGGGTATCTTAGAGTTTGGGTGGGGAGGAACAGTGAGGCTAGCATGCATTAGCAGGAGCCAATGTTTTCTGTTCATATGTATCTGGGCCTAAGCTGGCTTGAGGCGCCTTTGAAAAGGAACCATTAGATTTTCTTACACTTGTGCTCATGGGTTCTGTGGGTCAGTTATTCAGATAGGTTCTGCTCCTCAGTGTCTGGGGCCTCTTTTTGGAAGACTCAAACGGTTGCAGCTTGGAATCACATGGAAGCTTCTTCACAAACATGTTTGGTATCCAGACCAGAAGGGCTTGAACTCTGGACTCATTTGAGAACAGCAACTGGAGAACTTAACATGTAGCATCTTCATGTGGTGTTTGGACTTCTTACATGGTAGCTCAGAGTTCCAAGAGCAAATGTTCCAGAAAACTAAATCTACTTTTCTAGACCATTCACATGACTGTCATGACCAAGAATTGGAAGCTATATATCTTCATAATGTACCGTATTATATTCATCAGAACAGTTAAAGTCCCACTCAGACTCAGGAGAGAGAATAAAGATCCCATCCTTTTAATGGAAAGTATGTCAAATAATTTGTAACTTAAAAAAAATAAGGCCATGTGTAGCAACTCTAACAGATTTCAAATATTTCTTGCTTTTTAAAAATGTGGTGATTTAATATGAAACCCTGTAAAGTGGAAAAACCTATAGGTGTGTCTGGGAGGTTAGACTATGGAAGGAATGAAAGATTTTCATTCTAGTCCAAGAAAAGTTATAGGAAGTAGAGAAGTAGTTGATGCTAAGTATAAGGGAGAAAATCAGACATTGCCTTTCCAGTTCTAGAAGTTTGCCCAAGATTAGAAGAATAAGCAAGCACTCTTGGTTCAGGGTTATGGAGCAATGCTAATATGTATGGGAAACACAGAGTTGTTGAATTTGAATCTATAATGACTTCAGGGTTCTTTCCAACTCAACAATTCTACAACTCAGTTGATTCAACAGAATATGATTAACTTTTTATTCCACATCCATCCCTCTTCCTCCTTTCTAGTATAATACTGATTTGATTCAGTAGCTTACCTTATTCCCTCAGTCCCATCCTGACTGATCTAAGCCACTCAGAGAATGTAGCATTGCTCTGGCTTCTATTAGTGGAAGGAAGGGGAGCATTGCCTTAAATAGATCAAGCAGGTAGAAGGGAATGCCATGTATGGGAGGAGGAATCCTTTTCTTCTACTGGACACAAAGAAGGGTTAATTTAGTTTCAAATTCTGCTGGTACTTACTGTTAAGACTTTGAGGCTGGATGTGTGGCACATACCTATAATCCTATCACTCTGAAGAATCATGGATTCAAGGTAAGCCTGGGATACATAGTGAGACCCTGACTTAAAAACCTGAAGGCTGGAGATGTAGTTCAGTGGTAGGGCATTTGCATGCACAGAGCCTGGAACCTTGAGGACAGCCAGACTAAGATCAAAGTAAAAAAAAAAAAATGGAGAGATGAATGGAGGGGTAGAATGTGGTTTTCATGACACAGTGAGTTTCCAAAGCACCCAGATCAAATTTCTTCAATGTGAAGTACATCTCCTGGTTATTTAAGCCAAAGCCATCCACAAACTAGATAAGCATTTCCAGAGAATCTACTAAAAGGGTAAGAGGCTTTCTGATTTATTATTATTTTTTTGCAATAGGGTCTTACTCGGCAGTCTGGGCTGACCTTGAACTCATAGGGATTCTTCCATCTCAGCCTCCTGAGTGTTGAGCAGGCATGAGACACCCTGGCAGATTCTCTCTGTAAGGAGCTAATGATTAATAGGGGGAAGAAAAGACAATTAGTGAAGAAAAGGGACTACTGACCTGTAAGCCAGGCACTCTAGACCTACCTGTCTGATCCAGGTGAGACATTGAATCTGACAAGATCTCAGTCTCTACACCTGTGAAATGAGGGAACACACTATACATGTGCTAAGATGCCTTCCTGGATATAGCATCTTGCTATGTGGGCCAGATTGATCTTGGACTCACAGTCTTCCTACCTCAGCCTTCCAAGTGCTGGGATTACAGGCATTCTCCGCTACACCCAGCCAATTTTATGTCTTAGCAATAAAAACTAGAGGAAAGATGATTCCCTCACATTTTTGTTGTTGTTAAGCATCACTGGTCCACCAAGAAATTAACAATATCCACAGAGAGGTAAAAAGAAACCTAATTGTCTTTATTTTGTTTTGTTGAGACAGGGTCTCATAGAGAGGTAAAAAGAAATTTAATTGTCTTTGTTTTGTTTTGTTTTGTTGAGACAGGGTCTCACTATGTAGCCCAGGCTGGCCTCTAACTTGAGATCTTCTTGCTTCAGTTTCCCCAGTTCTGGGATTACAGAC